TATTGACCAATAAAAAATATGGACCTAAGTTCAGTGACCATTGGAATAATTAACTCATTAATGGACCAGTTGTTAAATATTATAATAAATTAGAGATAAATAATATTTACAATAATGGTGTCGAGAATTCCATGAGCAATAGCCATATCGACCATGTGACCTTCACGTGTGGCCTGAATGTCTTTTTCAGTACAAGCACCCAATTTTTAATGTATGGAAAGTACAACAAGCACAGCTTGGGACACTTCAAATTACCTGTCATAGAATTTTGATAATAAACTATGTCAAACAATAAATTAGAGTCCCATTTTTTGTTCAAAATATATTTTAAAATAATACTTTAATAAAAAATATATGTTTAAAAAAATAAGAAAAAGTTTAAATTTACGTATAATATTATTTTATTAAAAAATATCTTGTTTAAAATAAGAGAGAAAAATGTATTTTAGAAATAATGAAAACCAAACAAACAATAAGTATAAGCACTTCTTGCTTTAGTTAATTAGTAATTAATGATATTTAACCATATTTAATAGTGATTAAAATTTAAATTTTAATATAAATCAAAGTCAATAATTAACTTACATATTTAATGGGATCTAAAATTTTTCAACCATATATTTCATTTATTTTTATCAAAGTTTACTAAAAATTTGATATTAATCCCCATCGAACATGACTTAATATTCTTCAACGAAGCCTTTCAATATAATAATGTATCTTGGATGATTAACTAATCAAGTCTAATATCGATGAACACATTGAAATATCTGTTTAAAGAATTAGAATTCCATCACAAAAGACTCACCTAAGTACCATCATAGCTCAATATTCCTTATATGTTCACCATCGATCTCATATTTTCAACCCCCTTCAAGCGACAATTTATCTACTATCTTTACCAAATTAAGAAAGACTGCATGTTCTAACAATAACTAACTCTTCCACATCATTAGGGAAACCACCTTAAGAGCCAACCATGAATTTATTTTTTACCATAGTGATTTAATTTAGGGTCCACCACCACCTTCGATTGGCTCTAATGCCTAATTCAGATACTAGTTGTAGAAAAGTGAGGTTCCATTAAAAAAAGGTTAACCAATAAACGCGCAATAATTCAATCCCACTGTAAACTCATTATCAAACAGATCTCTAACCAATGTGTAATTTTTTTTTTTCGCAATTTTCAATACTATATATGTGGTTGAAGCTCTCGTAGCTTAAACACAAAAAATGTAGTTATCTGAAGTACATATAACTATCAAGAATTTCGCTCTACCATTGAGAACTCGTCGTGTCAACACAATTTCTTTTTTTCAATTCATCTCCAAACTAGATTTAAATAAATTGATTCAACGTCATGGGTTTATCAATTATGCTGGTCATGTGTGCGTGCATTATCACTTGAACGCGAATTAATTTCATTGGCCTCCTAAAGTTGCTGATTTGTACTTGCTAATATAATGATATTTCATGGTACAACTTAGGTCATGCAAATTTTTTATTGAATTTTGAAGCTTTGGTCATGTTATTGATATAAGATATTTCTAAAATATCTGTGCTTTAATTAACACAAAAACTTGTTTGATAAATTCCTATTTGGTGGCCTTTATTTCAAAAAATAAAAATAAAAATAAAAATAAAAATAAAAAATTATGTTTTGAACAGTATCTTTTGAGAACGTGTAGTTAAAAAGTAAGAAAATGTTTTGGCTTTATGAGTAAAATATTTTATTGTGTAAATGTGTGGTTTAAAATGAGTATGAAAAATAAATTAAAATAAAGTAAAGTATTGTAAAGGAAATCAAACAAGACAATAGTTAGGTAAATGGCGACAATCGAATTTAACATGTTACATGAATACATTGATAAGGATCTTCATATTTTCGTGTCAAAGATATTTTAGATACAAGTATACAATTAAAAGTTTGCTTTATTTTCAATTAATTTTTTATGTAAGTACGTTTGATTGCAAGTATAGAATTTGTATGAAATTAAAATAAATTCTAAACAATTCAATTCTCTAGAACTTATTTGTATGAAAATTATTAATTAAATGTGTTTGATTGATTTAATTTTTAACTTAAAAAATATTATACTTGTTCATTTTTTATTAGTGGGTAGATTAGAGAGAATGAAAGAGTAAATTTCCTGAAAATAAAAATCACCGATTTCTAAAGAGATTATTTTCCTTGTTTTTAAGAATAAAATGGTTATATGATCTAAAGTTGGAAAATATTTTCCATTAAAAAGTTATCAATCAAATATTTCGAAAGTAGGAATTTGGCTGAAAAAATAAAATCAATTAAACATACTCTAATTTCTTTGGATGTCCTTTCTTCCTTGTATGGTCAAATGAATCTAATAAATAAAATTAAAAGGGCAAAACACTTCGAAAGTGAATAAAATTAAGAAATGAAACATGTAAACTTTTCTTGAATGATGACTAGAAGACAACATAAAACCTTGAACTCAAATATCGAGATTGACCTTCAAATGGTTCGAAGAGAGAGCAATTTATATCATAATTAGGGTTTAATGGAAGTTTGTACCCTTGGTAAAATAGGGAAACACGAGGTTAGGCAAGTGGGTTGGCTTTAAAAATTAAATTATAATTTATTCAATCACTTAATTGGGTTTTGAGCTTTTAATACTTCAAACGTTTGCAACATTTATTATTAAAATATTTAATTAGTAGCTAGTCTTGAAATTTCAGTTTTCTTGGGTTCTTAATAATTTTGTATGGAAATATAGGCACACTATTTGGAGATTCACGTTTTGAGCTGTCACCCTTTGGGCAATTGATGAAATTATTATAATTTTTACATATACTTTATCAAGAACTGTCGGGTAAAATTTTCGTAAATAATTACTCCATCCGTTCAAATTATATAAGCTTGTTTCGTTTTCCCCACGGATTTAGAAATCTTCTTTAGCTCTTATTTGAATCACATTATTTTCATAAAAATGTATTTTTTAATAGTGTATAGATGAAAATGTATGGTAAAAAAAAAAAAGAAAAATTATTATTTTATTAAATAATATGTGGTCAAAATGATGTTAAATCACTATTTAAGAATTTTTTTTTTTAAAGATCGTGGATCAAACAGTGTCTTAATGTCATTGAAAAATTAATTTTGCCAAGATCTTTCTTAATTTACCATTATTTAATTTTCAGTATATAGTAGTAAATTTTTATTGGAATTAATAAAAATTTTGAACGATTTAATTTGAAGAAGAAGAAATTAGATTTGTTCCATGTTTTCAAAAAGAGGGAAATGTGTGTATTTAGATGATTTCAAGAAATTGGCCTATTAAGTGAGAAAATTGAATAATGTTATATTGGTAAAAGAACAAAACAAAATATTCTAAATTAAGAAATAAACCTATATATTTGAGACAAGAGAAAAAGAAAACTCAGGCTATATAATTGGGATGAAGGGAATAATAATAACGAGATTAGAACTCATGTCTCCAAAAGTTTAAATTGGAAAGAAAAAAAGAAAAGTGTATTAGTCAAAAACCTTAAACTAAAGCCACAGTCCTTTAGTAATTTCCAAATAATTTGATGTGGAAATAGATTTCCAATACAAAATAATGAAAAAATAAAAGATCAAAATCTTAAATTTGATTATCTTATAACTTTGGAATTTGCTCGTGGCACAGATTATAAGCCAATTTCTAGCTATTGGCAAAAATTCCGAACTATAAATTTTATATTATAGTGGAAAACTACTTTTTTCCTTGCTATCAAAATCTTGAATTATCAAAGGAGAAACATAATTATTTGAATATTATTTTCGACATACTATTTCTATTTTTGAATACTTGAGTACTCAATTATTAAATCTTATCTAGTTCTACTGTTACGTATGATTTGTACATGTGTTCCCACACAAATACATTGGTTTGGCCACAAGATAAGATAAGATAATTCTTGTCCTCCTACTTTATTAAGATACCATTAGAATGTGACATTGTTGTCATTAAGCTTTGCAAAAGTACTTTAGGATTTTTTGAACTGAACATTCCTATAGTCAAACTAGTTGCATAGGTCGATGGATCCTACACTAAACTAAAAAAGAAATGCTTGAAAAAGAAAGCATAGCAAATAAGATTCAAACTCCTCAAATTAAGTACCTAATCATTAATATATATGTCTATTTAGGGCAGTTGATAAACTAGGAACATAAGCTACCTCATTGATGTGATGGAAGACCCAATATGTCCCAATGAACCCTACAACATTTATGCCATGTTTGATATGTCATACGATACATTGAATCATGCTAGATTTATAACAAAAATTCACAAGATTTTTTCAGAGATAGACACATGACAAAATCTCACTTATTTCAATCAAATCAAACAAAAAAAAATGCACCATACAGGTGTTGAGTGCCTGTAAACAATTCCCTGTACGCAGAGAATTGTTCCGGTACATTTGACATGTTTGGTTAAACAAAATTTGTAGGGTAATAAATCTTACATATTATAAAACGTGTTGATTTATTGGATCGAACAACATTTGATAAAATTAAAGAAATATAAGAGAAATTTTGTTGGGTAATGAGCTTTACTCAATTTATGACACATTTGATAGAACAAAATTCATTATAATTAATTAAAGAAGAACAATAAGAAAAAGTTTTGAATATGCTTCGTTGCAATGTGTTTTCATTAATGTCTATCAAACATAAATGATACAAAATGAAAACGAGTATCCTTAAAACGTACCAATTTTATAGAACAGAATATTTATACATGTTTTATTTTCGATATTCACTCTTTTTTTTTTTTTTTAATCAAATACATGGCATGTAATTTTCACCATCCATAATTTTTTAACTTAAGACAAAGTACCTACTATTCACACACATGTATACATAAATATACAAAAGATGCATAACTTTCAAACTCAAGACCGTCACCTATTACGTTACCATAATGTATATATAAATACTTACATCCTTATAAACACAATTGAGATGGGGAGTTTTTTAAAATTCTTTTGTTACTTTCCTTGATGTTGCAAGTATATATGGAATCCCAAGTGGAAATGGGACCCCTATGAAAGCACTTCACGCCCTTTTATGCCCCATAGTTTGCTCTTTACTCGACCAATGCAATTCAAGACCCCACTTTAAACACCCTATAAGAACTCCCTTCACGAATCACAACTTCATCTTCCCATTCCATCATCATCTTCACAAAAAAAATAAGAAACCCACAAAAAGGAGAGGGAAAAAAAAAATTCTCTCAAGAAAAAAGAAAAATTCCTTAATTTCATCAAAAGAATCATCAGACAATATGAAGATGATGAGTGGCAGCAATTTAGGAAGCTCAAAGAGAAGAATAGCAAGTAGAGGACTTGGTGGGGCACTTAGAGAACAAAGAGCTAAGCTTTACATTATAAGAAGATGTGTGGTTATGCTTCTTTGTTGGCATGATTGAGTTCGACCGATCCTTTGGCCATGGTTCGATTCGAGGCACTGAATGAGTACGAAAAATTTCAACTCACCACCGGAGTCTGGACTAGGCATCTAGTTGGTTTTTTTTTCTCTCTTCTTATTAGAAAATGTGTAGTTTGCTTCTACGGCCTTCGTTCGATCATGGCTCAATTCGAGACATTGGATGAGGACAAACAATTTCAACTCACTACCAGCCTAGGCAGGGAGTTGGCTTTTTTCCTCTCTTGTTAGATTGTGTATATATTAGCGCCGGCTGATGTTATATTTTTTTGAGTTGTAACAATTTTGTACTAATTAATGGCCTTACAAGGCTTGATAGCTTGAACTGAAACATTTAATTTGATTCATTTCTTCTTTTTATAAAATCTTTTTTCTATTCAATTTCTTTTCAATTCTGAGATGGTGTGCACATTATTAGTTAAGGGGCTGCAAAATGGATTTGAGATTAGGGTTCCAACACTGTTGGCAGACATTAGACTGGACAACACTAAATGGAATAAGAATAAGATAAAATCCCATCCATTGTATTATTATACTATCGAGTTCTATGTATAAAAGATGTGTCTTTTGTAACGTATGGATCTGGCTATTGATCCATAAGATGGCAACTTTGGCATATTAATTCTGTCAAAAAATTTAAAAAAAAAATAAATAAATAACTTTTGGCATCTTAATTCTCATCGGATTCAGGTTAGTATCCGTTTGGGTTTTATTTTTTTATTTTTTATCCTAAAACTTTACCTTTCAAAGTTAAGTATTATATTTAATTATTACGCATCTTATAGGATCTGTATATATTATCTACATACCAATAACTCGTCTCTTGAAATGTAAAACTTTAGCAAAATAAAATGAAACCCAAACTGAGAATATTGAGGGTTGACACAGTGACACTTCAAAAATCTCGGGTCGCCTCGCCCCCACCAACTTGCTCCTGCTGGGGGCGAGCCAAGGCAATTTCAAAACTTAGTATACAAAAAAATTCATGGAAATTACAATTGCAGGAATATTTCAGCAATGGCACAGTCATCTTGCCTTATATTCGGTAGTAAACCTTCACGGAAAAGTATTTTAACAATATTTTCGATAATATTAATAAACGAGTCTAAAAATACCTTCTTGCAACATATTTTCTTTGTTTTACAAAACTCTACTACATGCACTAAATCCAGCCGCCGATGTTAATGCTCCAATTGACACCGAAGGTGTTTGTAGATCTCATGTCATCAAAGATAATATTAAACATTATTTTTATGAGTTCTTTGTCACTATCTGAAAAGATCAAAATTATGTATTTATTCTCAACTAATTTAACACTTTAAACTATGGTATGTAAACTATCTAGCTTATAACTCGTGGAATTTTATTTTGTCTGGTACTAGTATTAGAAAAGAAATGAGAGATAAACTCCATGTAATAGCTGTACTTATATGGATCCATGCCATTATCAATATTGTGTTTGAAATCATATTGAGAATATAAATTGCATAAAGTATTTTTGCATCACAATGTGTAATAGAATTATGAGGCAGTGAATCATTCTCACAATCGTGTTTGGTATCGTATTGAGAATATAAATTGCATAAAGTATTTTTTTATATCACATTGTAATAATAATATGAAATTTTAAATGTGAAGAAATATTTCCGATAATTAATACCTTAACAACCCTAAAAGTTAATACGAGGCCCATAACCGTAGTTAGAGGAAATAATATGGGTAAGTTCTTCTAATATTTTTAAAATGTCATCTCCATGTCCATGGTAGCATAATTTCATAAAAAATGTGCAATCTCTTCATTTACTTACAATATTAAAAATGAGTTAGAAAAATGGGAATAGAGTGGGATAGAAGATCTCTGCGCACACATTGATCATCTTAAAGAAAATGGTTATCAGCACAAAATATCCTTATGTTTGAAGTTTATTGTGCAAAATGTCTCCATTTTTCATTTTTTTAAATTACATTTTCACCCCTATTTAACATTTAATTTCGAAAATCATCATTTCCATCCATTTTCATTGTGAAAAGATGAATATATCCTTGTATCTAAAAAGAAAAGAAAAGAAAAATAAAGAAAGAATTGCAATTATACTCCCAAATTTTAAAAAAAAAAAAAAAAAGTGCAAATGGATTTCAAATAAATTATTAAAAAATTTAAAGTAAAAAAAAAAAAATCTTTTTATTTCTCCTTCTTCCTTTTTCTCCTCCTCCACCACGCAACTCATAATTCTGTAAAAACGTGTTACATCTCAAACGTTATTCTTTTATAGATCGAAAACATAGCTTGTTATAGCTTTGAAACTGCGAAACAATAACACTTCTAATATCTTAATTTCTCGAAGAAAAAGGTAAAACTATGTGATAAATTTATTTTGTATGATTTTTTCTATAATTAATGATTAATACAAATTAAAGCATCCAAGAAGCCAGTGAGAATGCTAAAATATAAACCCTAGCTTCAAATCAACAAAGAGAGCTCAAAATCTGACCCCAGTAGCAAAAATATAAATATTTCCAGAAAAAAGGGAAGCATAATATTTTCAACAACTGATGGGAAAAATTAGTTAATAAAGTAAATTTTTACTCCAAAAATGTTAAAAAATAAAATGAAAAAAAAAAAGAAGAAGAAAAATTGTATGATTAAATGCTAGATGCGGAGCCGACACCGCTCAGGGGGAGGGAACAGCGAAGCGGATTGATTGCAATTAATTTTTTTTTAATTTAAATAAGAGGGTATATTCGACATTTTACAGCTTTTATTTGAGAAATTGGATGGAAATAAGCAAAAAAAGATGATTTTGCAATGGAAGGGAAAAAAAAAAGAAACAAAAAAGAAAAAAGAAAGTGATGACGTTTTGCACAATGAACTTTAAATCTAGGAATATTTTGTACTAATAACCCTAAAGAAAACTTTCATAAGTTTCAAGATCTCAAAAGTAATTAACTAGTCATTAAAACTTAAATTAGAATCAAAATCGTATAGATACTAACCATTATAAGATTAGTAATATTTGTCTCATAATTGACATAAGATTATAGCATGAGAATTGTAGAGTTTCGCCTATCACCTATATCCATTGCAAAACATCATGTCGAGTAAGTTAGAATCTGCATATATATTCACAAATACTTGTTTGCGAGATGAAGCAACATAATAAAAGCAAGTCTGTATAATTTTTGTCAATTGTGGTGCAATATAGTTAAGTCCATCTTGTACAATCAAATTAAAAATATGACACACAGCATACATCAAAAAGCTTCGCATTACAATCCAGATAGAGTTGATTATTTTCAATAACTTAACGTTAACAATAGCATTATCAAGAGCGAAAACCACAAATTTTATCTTCATAATATCTATTAAATTTAATTGTAATCATACTAAAAATCAAGAATCACCAAATAATGAATTAATAAAACGAATTCATACCTGCGGAAGCCATTGTTGATATGAATGATAGTTGTAATAGCAGTCAAAATCTTCCCCTCCTTGCTCCTCACAAAGTATTAGCTATCAATGGGGCAAGCCAATAAAAACATATGGAGAGGAGAGGGGACCTTGCCTTTATATATAAGAAATAATTTGAGTCGTCCCATTACGACTAGAATTTTAATTAGGGTTTATTTTCGACCCACATATTTTAAATTACCACATCAAATTAATTACAACTCGTAAGGTGTAAAAGGCCCAATTGATCACTTAATAAATTTGGCCCAAACACAATTATCATTATGAGTCATATATCTAACCCGTAAAATTTTGAAATTGAATGTGAAGTCCACATATGGAATTATTAATTATTCCAACATTCTCCCACTTGGGAAAACATTTGATTGCCATAACAAAGTTATAACACTCGGGTTAGACTATATAAGTGGCTACAAAAGTATAGCTCCAATGATGACACCTTACGTAACATAATCCGGTCCAACAAGAATACTAACACCGAACATGAAAGTCATCACATCAATTTAAGAGATGTAAGACCATTCCACAGCTACAAATGTCAACATCCTTATCGACATGGATCCCCATTCTCCAACCAATGTGGTAGTATGTGGTATGAATTTAGCACCAAATGTGATAAAAAATTGTGCTAACTCATATCGGTCTTCATAATGTTTCGAATCAAAATGAAGTCACATGTCTTTAAAAAAGACTCATCTTATGGGATTTGAGATTAGGGTTCCAACACTGTTGGCAGACATTAGACTGGACAACACTAAATGGGATAAGAATAAAATAAAATCCCGTTCATTATATTATTATACTATCGAGTTCTATGTATAAAACCTGTGTCTTTTGTAACGTATGGATCTGGCTATTGATCCATAAGATGGCAACTTTGGCATATTAATTCTGTCAAAAATAAAAATAAAAAAATATCACTTTTGGCTTCTTAATTCTCATCGGATTCAGGTTACTGAGGTTAGTATCTGTTTGGGTTTTATTTTTTTATTTTTTATCCTAAAACTTTACTTTTCAAATTTAAGTGTTAAATTTAATTATTATAAATTTTATAGGATCCATATGTATTATCTACTTATCAATAACCCGTCTCTTGAAAAGTAAAACTTTAGCAAACGAAAATGAAAACCAAACTGAGAATATTGAGGGCTGACACAGTGACACATCAAAGATATCATTAAATATTATTTTTTATGTTTTCGTTTTCACTATCCGAAAAGATCAAAATTATTTATTTATTCTCAATTTAACACTTTACGACCATGGTATGTAAACTATCTAGCTTGTAACTCGTGGAATTTTATTTTGTCTGGTACTAGTATTACAAAATAAATGAGAAGATTATAAACTTCATGTAATAGTTGTACTTATATGGATCCATGTCATTAGGGAATGATGGGACTGTGTTGGGAATCTACTTAATATGTGCAGCGAAAAATTAAAACAATTTTCGATTTCCACCTCGAACATCTTTGTGTTTAGATAGAAATTGTGATAAAAATGCACTTTTTGTCGAGATCTACAAACTCATTTTCCAACAATTTTGATTCGTCATCCACAGCTGTCTAATTGTTCAACCTCCAACGGTGTTCTACACAGAGAACAAGATTGTAGAATTATGGTTTTCTTCTTGTGCTAGTAAGAATAATGAATTCTCTGCTAAATTTGAAAATCCTATTTATATTTATATAAGCCCAAACGGGTTTATCTTGACCCGATTCAATATTTAATTAACCCATTTAATTAAATCCGGTCTGTGAACTAATTAGTTCAATTAATTAATTCGGGCATATAAATATGTAACCCAATTAATTAATTTATCCAACGCTTGTTAAATTAATTAATTGATAAATTGCAATATTCTAATTCTCTTTTTGTGTGCGACCCATCAGGTTTTCAATCACGATAT